TCATTTTTTACCTGAGAAAAAATTTAATGAAAAACTTTCGATTTTTTTCATTGCTTGAACACAGTGGCTTTAACAAAATTTGCATAAATTTTTTTATTTTGTTGCAAAAAAAAGGGGCAAGATTATCTTGTTGTTGTTGTTTATTTTAGATCCAAAATAAACAACAAAATGGACCACCATCAGCATGATTTTGTTCTACTGGTGGTGCACCACCACCACCATAATCGACAAAGATTTTTATCCATCGAAAAAATAATTGGCGGTTTGAATTTTGACAAAAATGTGTGTGTGTGGTTAGAGACAAAATACCGAAAGATCGAAAATCCGATTCAAATCTGACCAAAAAAAAAACCGAATCTTTACGGGAAAAAAAGAAACATCAAATGTATCAATTGTGTGTTAAAGGTGTGCAATTTATCACTTTTTTGGAAAAGCGAGAAAAAAGTTTTCAATTAAACAATTTCAAAGATAAAGATAAGGAATGAAAGCAAGCAAGGAAAGTGAGAAAATTTTTTTTAATCAAAAATTTTCAATTTTATCAAATCCATCATTGACCTGTTGCCTTGTTGTTGTTGTTTTGGGATTATGTCCGTTCGATACATAACACGTGTGGTAACAAACTAACAAAATGTTCCAGTGTTTCGGCTTTGTCATTCATTTCATTTCATAATCTCGATGTTTCTTTCAAAATTCAATTTAAATCTTCCGGCTCGGAGAACAAAACAAAACAAAACAAAGCAAAGCGAACAAGCAAACAAACAGTGTGAATTTGAAAAGAAAAAATATTTCTTTTTGAAAAAAACTTTTGATTGATCTATTTATATCCATCCATTCCATTACAGATTGATAATCGATCGATTTCCAGTTGATAATCCTATTAAGGAATTTTCAAACTTGCGAAAAAAAGATTAATTTTTCCATTTCTGATTTATTGATTGATTTCAATTCGATTTTTCATTGATCTAAAATTTATTGATTGATTTATCTGCCAGTAATAACAACAGCAATAACGACAACAACAGAAAATATGAATGGAGATCATTGATGATGAAAATCATTTACATGTTGCGAACAGAAAGAAAAAAGTGTTAAAAATGGATGAAAAAAAAAGCGGCGATGATGATGATAATCACGACGGCGATTATCGATAATCCATTATCGATGATGATGATGATGATGGATGAAATCTGTAAAATCCAGATCAATCAAACAAAACAAAGCGAAAATCTTTTTGAATGAAAACATCAATCAATATTGATTATTGATTATCGATGATTTTTCTCTCTTAATCCATCTTAATCTCCTTTTCTTTTCTTTCTTTTTCCCCAAATCGATACACCAAATACACCAATGATTATTAGTTGATTATCGATATCGTGAATCAGGTGAATCAGGTAATTGAATCAACGAAAAATTCATTCTTTTTCTCTGCTTAACAATTTCAATAAAGCCAAAAAAAAAATGTTTATGGTGTGAAAAACAAGAAGACAACAAAAAACTTCCTAAAAATAGCATCCCGAATGTAAAAAGAAGAAAAGAATTTAATGTTGTTTTTGTTTTTCATTTCTTTTTCGGATATCGGATTGATTGGATTTTTGTATTATTTTTTTCTTGTTTCTTTTGTTTAGTTTTCATTTAGTTTCCATTATCATCAACAACAACACAATTGATGTGAATTTATTGTTTTGGCTGACTGGCTGGTTGGTTGTGTGAAATGTTTGTCTTTTATTTCTTTTTCCCGATTTCATTTCAATCCCGATGATGTTTTCATCCGAAAGAAAATGTTTCAAAAAGTTGTTTCAAATTCAGTGATGGTGGAAGGGGGAAAACAACAAACGTAACAGGGAATGTTGCTGGGGGGAAAAGAAATCAATGAATGATGATGATGGAATACTGATGATGAAGATATGTTACCGATAAACAAGTAAAGTGTGTGGTGAGGGGAGGGGGGATAGAAAAAAACAGCATTGAATGCAATGTGTGTTTGTGTGGAAGTCGAATCACGATTCAAATCAAATCAAATCACACATAAAGACAACGATAAACAATGATGATGATGATGTTAAAATCTTCTTGGTTTTTTTCGTGTCATATCGGTTTTGTTTAATTTGCTAAAACATAGAGTAGAGCAAACAGCCTTGGAATTCTTTCATCTAAATCAATTCGGACGATAATGTCAGGAGAAACAATGGATTTTCTTCTTTTTTCTTGTTTTGGAAAAATTATTCAATGAGATGAACATCATCCATAATCCAATTGAATGGAGAATCTTATATAATCAATTCTTTTCTCCATGATTTTTTCCAATGATTTTTTCATCAAGTTTTTGTTTCCTATCAAAAAGAAGAAGAAGAAAAAACATCTTATCAATTGTCTTATCTAATGAGGACAAGGTTAAAAATTGCTTACATGTGTGCGGTCGTTGTTGAATAAGTTTGTTTTTTGATTAAGATTTCCAACATGAATCTTTAAACATGATTTTTTTCGATTTCTTGATGAGAAAAGATTTTCTGATTTTTCTTTTCTTTTCTTTGTTTGATTGTTACAATCCTTATTTGGATGTTTCAAACAAAACGATAAAGTTCAAGGTATGTAATGGAGAAAAAAAATGTCTATTTTTTTTGCTGGTTTTCAATCAAATCTTTTCGGTTAATCGAATCAAAATTGATTTGATTTGATTCGATCAGATCCTGTAGTTTATCCAAGAGAGAGAGAGAGAGAGAGAGAGAGAGAGAAATCATTCCGAAAAGATAATCTCTATCATCATTTTCGATAACAGATTTCCAGACAGATTGATGATGATTCACTTAACTAAAAACAAAGATCATTGACAAGATTAATTGATTCTTCTTCTTGTTGGTCGTCATCAACGTAATCGTCATGGTAGGATTATTATCTTCACATAGACACACACTTTGGTGATAATTCAATTTGATTTGTAAATGTTAATCTGCTTTTGTTATTGTGAACAACAGAAAACAGAAATTATTCTTTTTTTTCAAACCGAAAGAAAGAAAGAATCCTACGAAAAACAGATTAAGATTTTGCTTTTCTTCCATCAGTTTCAAAAAACGTAAAAGTTTACCATAAACCGATAATGTCAGAAACCAAAAGAAGAAAAAAAAACCCTAAACAGATAGATAAAAAAAAAATCCTATTTGGATTTAGAAAATTAAGAAAAAAAAACCCGATAATTTTCTTCAACAAAAAACTTAAATTGAAAAGATTTTAAAAGTTGATTTGATTTTCATTATTGAAAAACGCTTATTAAAAGAAAAGAAATATCCGTTTTTTTTCGAATCCTGTTGCCATTATTATTTCCTGAAATGAAATGAAATGATGGTGATGAATGGATGGATGGATGAAAAAATCAACAATAAAAATTCGGGAAAAGTGAAAAAAACTANCTAAAAGGATAGATAAAAAAAAAATCCTATTTGGATTTAGAAAATTAAGAAAAAAAAACCCGATAATTTTCTTCAACAAAAAACTTAAATTGAAAAGATTTTGAAAATTGATTTGATTTTCATTATTGAAAACGCTTATTAAAAGAAAACAAATATCCGTTTTTTCTCGAATCCTGTTGTTATTTCCTGAAATGAAATGAAATGATGGTGATGAATGGATGGATGGATGAAAAAATCAACAATAAAAATTCGGGAAAAGTGAAAAAAACTATCATTTTTTTTTGTAAAAAAATCCAATCTGATTACAAATCTGGATCAATATTTTTTGTGTTATTTGCTTGTCGGCTTTCTCCATTCACTTATTGTTTGGTTGTTTGTTTGATTTATGTCGATTTTGTTTTGTTTGTTTTTTTTAAATCCGGATCTAATAAAATGATAATAACAAACAAACGAAATTTGCTGTAAATCAATTTTTGGGGGGATTTTTTCATTGAAAATTTTGATTTAATTAAATAAAAAAATGAAATGAAAAAATGACCCGAAAATCTTTCTGTTTTCATCATGTTTTCCATCATGTTTTTCGTCAATCGTCATTCGGCAATATCAACCTAAATCTGTCAATTGTCAAATCAATGAAATCAAAAAAATCAATGAAAAAAACGAAATTCATTAAACAATGAAATGGAAAAAAAAACATTAACATTTTCAACAAAAACAACAACGAAAAAATTTGCTAATTGCTGGTTGCTCAATTGATTTGCTTTTACTTTGAAAACAAAAACAAATCAATAAATTAAACGGACATTATGAAATCTGATTTTGATTTTGATTGATTGATAATGACGGTGATTATGATGTTATGAAAGTGAAAATAGTGATAATTTTGTCATTCAATTAACTAACTAACTAAGTAATGTAATGTAACCAATCAATCAGAACTAATATGTTTTTCGTTTCGTTTCGTGGTTTTTGTCTGAAACAATTGAATTTCATTTGAATAAATGTTTTTGTTGTTTTGCAAAAATGATTTTCTTCCATTATTCTTTTCTCAATGATAATGATTATTAGGTTGATGGCCGCCATCACAAACTTTATGTTTGATGCAGAAACATTAATCAAATGGAAATGGAAATTGGAATGTTTTTTGGCCAAAATTTAAATTTTACAAGATTCGAACGCCATCTATGAATCTTAAAAATTAAAAAGAAAAATTAAAAGTATTTTTTCGTTTTTTAAAATCTTTTAATTTGTAATTTATTCAATTATCAATAATAATTAATTAATAATAATAATAATAATAATAATAAAGTAATGAATTGATAAAATGAAGGGGAAAAATAAAAATTACAAATTACAAATATTGTTTTTTTTTCGCATGTCTTTCATCATCATTCTATGGAAAATGATTTTCAATTTTCAATTTAAAAAAAAAGTAATCAGAGTGGATTCATTCATTCATTTTTGTTTGTACACATTTCAGATTGAAAAAAAATCGATAAGAAATTGATCAGAAGAAGATTTTTTTTGTTCACAAAACAAATTCAAACACAAACACAAACACACAAAACACAAGGACGATTTCTTCAATTTTGATTTTTCACATAAAATTTTGAAACACACACAACGTTGCAAAAATATAGAAACTTTAAACATCTGCCTCGCTGATGATAATCATGAGGATGATCTGATCTGATCAATCAATCAATTGAGTATATAAGATGTGTGTGTGTGTTTGTTTGGAGTTCGATTAACCGGGTTATCGTTGAAAAATTAATGTCAGTAGTGTTTCGGTTGAGCGCCCGGTAAATAGTGTTGATGATTTGTGATATTTTTTTGTTCCGGATGGTATTTTTTTTTATTTGAAAAGATTTTTTTGTTTGTTTTTCATCAGGTGATGATAAAGGATTTTCTTTTAGTCAAGATGTGTAATTGGTATATGTGTGGGTTGAGTGTGTTTAAATTTGTTTGAAAAAAAGGGGAAAAAAATAGAGAAAGAAAGAGAGATCGATCACAGATTCTGTAGAGCTTGTTCGATATTCCAATTGAATTGTGATAATGCACATATTGCTCGTTCTTCATCAATATGGCTTAATTCACGTAAATGTTTTATTTTTGCTAAATGTGTTTTGGGGTTAAACAAATCAAATCAATCAATCAATCAATAAAGTTAATTCAAAATCAGATATTCAGTTACCTTCATATGATTCAAATTGTTTACGTTTTTCTAACGGTCTATCTGTTGCAAAATAATATGTCCAAAATTTGGCCGTTTGACGATAATAATCTGGATGATCTTTAAATTGTCTAGCAACAACTGCATCTTGTGGATCATCTGGTTCAGGAGCTGTGATAATAATAACCAAATGGTAATTGTTATTTTGGGTTTTTCATTCTTAAAAATACAATAAAACACATACATGTTAATAAGGCTTGAATGCTTAACAAAACCGTACGTAATGTCATTGCAGCCGCCCATTGATCTTTAAGTATATCTAAACAAATAGCACCAGTTACGGAAGCTAAAAACAGAAAGAAATAAAGTTTTATCAGTTTGGTTTTTTCCAGACTTACTCTCTCGCTACTTACATATATTTGGATGCCAAATTTTAGTTGTAAAACGTACTTTCGGTGGATTGAATGGATACGTTTCGGGAACTTTATTAAACGAGAAAAAAAGGGTTATGAATCGAAAAATGATATGAGAATGATAATGATAAAAACATTACTTTTGATTTCAACTTTAAAACGACCACCTTCAAATAATGATTCAGATGGTCCGATTACATAACCGGTTAGATTAAGCAGATTATTATCAACCGGTTCAATATGGAATAATTTATTTGGTTCATTTTCCGTTTGTGGTAATTCCATAAATTCACGTTTAATACGTTTGGCAGCAATAGTTGCCATTTTTTTATTACCTTCTGTTGTTTATTATTATTTTTTCTGATGCAACAATATTTCTTTATACAAGAAAATTTCAATCAATCACTTCGAACCGAAACGAAAAAACAAACAAACGAAAAAACTTAATAGTTTTTTGGGAATAATTCTTATAATTTTGCTGTTGTTGAATAATTAGGAACAAAAACAAATGAAATTAACTGATGTTTGTTGGATGATAATTCGATAATTCGATAAATAATAATAATAATTCGAATTCGTCTATTGATCTTTGTGTGGAGCAAAAAAAAAAAAAATTCGATTTCGATACAGAAAAATTAATCAATTTTTTTTATAAAACAAAATTACCTTTTTCTTACCTTATTTAGATCATCATTCGATTGATTGATTGATCAAAAAAAAAACAGACAGAAAATAATAATAATTTTCAATAATTTCTTTTTAATTGATTAATTAAAAACTTTTAACGTAAAAATATTCACACGATGAAAAAAAACAACAACAAAACAGCAGGGCCAGAAAACATCATCATCATCATCATCAACAAACAAACCACAAAAAAACATAGCGGCATCATCATTGATCAACATAGTGGTTAAGAAATGTGTACGGAAAAAAATAATCGAACGAGAAAATTTGATGATAGTAGTATGGATTTCCGTTACCAATAGAAAAAACGGATACTATTGTATTCTCTCTCTCTTAAAAAAAACACAGAATAAAAGTAGAAGTCAAACTATCCGAACCATTTGACTCCGCCTTCACAACAGGATTCTAGACCACTATCCAGAATCCTAAAATATTCTATATCCTCACTCTCTTACCTTTGGTTATGGTCACTACCGTTTTTTTTTGTTTGGCCGTTAAAGTTCGAATTGCAGACAGCCAAAAAATGAATGTATTACCTGCCGCGCTCTCTGTCTCTTCGTTGTTCGTTGATAATTTTATAATCCAGGTAAACCAAAAAAAAAAAAAGCTTGCTTGATTTATTATTGAAGGGGGCTTTTTACCTTTCTTTTTTCTCTGATGAGCAGGTCTCGATGAGAATAGAATCAAGTTTTTTTTTGTTTAAATTCGTTATTTTAAGCGTTGTTTGTTGTGATTAGTCACCACCACCACCATCATCATCTAAATTGACCACCATTTTTTTTGTTCGGTCGTCGTTTGTTTTTGTTATGTAATTTTTCTTTAAAAAAAGTCATTATAATAATGATAACTTCTTCAGAATCTCATCATCATTATCATTATCATCTTTGTTTTACTTTATGCAAAAAACAATGAGAACCTGATTTTTTTCTGGTTCGTTTTTTGTAATTATCATTATCATCATCATTATCGTCACAGTGTCATTGTCTTTTCTTGTTTTTTGTTCTTGGTTTTCTTCGTATTCGGCTCACCTCACCATCATCATCATCAACGTGAATGATGACAGCAGCGAAAAAACAAGCACCCAAACTACTATTACTATCGTCATAGTCGCAAGGACATGTTCGTAAATTTCAGCATGGAATAATCGGAAGAAAATCGTTTTGTCATCGTTATTCATTCATTTTTTTGTTGAAGGATTTCTTCGAAAAAATGACCAACAACAACAAGTAAACGAAATTATCATCTTCTTAATGTGAAATTCAACTGTTGATCATCATCATTGGCGTGAAAATTTTTCCATATTTCACAATTCAAATTTATCAAGAAACAATTCAACCAGAAAACTATATTATAATGTTGTTCAATGTAAGTCATTTTTTTTCAAAAGAAAAACTCTGATATCTTTTTCTCTTTGTCTTGCATGTTTCCTGCTAGTAAAGATTATTATTATTTTTTTTTTTTTTGAAAATGCGAATCAAAATCAGATCCGGAGTTTAATCGAGATGGAATAAATAATGTCAAGTGTGATTACATTTTTTGTTTCAGATATTTTTATAATTTGTTTGTTTGTTTGTTTAGACATCCGATTGAAACTTTTAGGAAAAGAAAACCATTTTGTATTTATTATGCTTGTGTGTGTAGGTGGGTTAAAACCTGTCTTTTCTTTTTAAAAAAAAAACAAACAAACAAAGAAAAATTGAATTGAAATCATCAAGTGGTTAACAAAAAAAGTAAACAACATTCGAACCATCATCATAATCATCTTTGGTCGATTCTTTTTTTGTTGGTTATCAATTTATCTTTCTTCTTTATACATTCTTGACATTTGATGATTTGTATCCATAAGTGAATCATGAACGAACGAAACGAAAAAACCAATTTTAAATTTGTTTCGATATTTTTTCACATTGGTTCATTCTTCTTCTTCTGCTTCTGATTTTAATCATTTCAACAACTTTTTGTTTTGTTTGTTTCACACATTTTTGTTTTCGATTGTCTTTATTTTGTCCTGAAATATCTGTTGTCGATCTAGTTATAGACAAGAAAAAATCAAAATCAAAATCAAATCACGTTCTCTCTACCTATATTCACTCATTCACACAGGTAAAATTCATTGGTTTATTTTTGGATCTTTCAACAACAACAACAAAATCGCCCAAATTTTATTTTTGATTTTGATTTATATCATTTCATTATCTTCATATATCAACAATGGCTGTGAATTTGTTTTTGTTTTTCGTTTCAGAACCGAAAATTTATTGTTTTTTCAGGGCGCTTTTCTTCTGTTTTAAACTTGTTTTTTTTTAATAAATTTGTCAGCTCTCCCCCCCCCGAACAAACAAGATCTTTTCTTTTTTGGATTTTTTTTTGTAATAATGAAAAAAAGTAATCATTTTTTTCACCTGATGAAAATTCAATTTTCATCTGATTTGTAATTTGATTGCTGTCGTTTCGTTTACCTTTTGGATTTTTTTGATTGTCCAATTTCTCATTACATCCACTCTTCAAATCTTGTCATATTTCATTTCGTTTCGTTTTTTTAAATAATAATTTTCTCTGTTTTTTGCATATATGTTTTGTTTTTGTATAATTTTCCATCATCATAATCATCATTTTTGTTTGCATCTGCCAATTTTCTTTCGTTAATGTTGTTTTGGCTACCTTTTAAACATCATTTTTCTAATGTATGTTTCCCAAAACAAAATTTTTGTTTTTTTTCCTGATTGACCATAAATAATCTTTTTCTCTCTTTCAATAATTTTTTTTCTCTCTTTTTTTTTCTTAAATTGTTTTTCAATTTGATCCAAAAACCTATTCATTTTTTTGAAATGAAATGGAATATATTAATGATGGCAGTGGTCTTGGAACAATTTCCTTTCTCTTTCCAGCTTTTTTTTTGTTTTGTTTTGTTTGCTTGTTTCATAAATGTTGTTTGTCCATCCTAAATCACAGCATCCGAATCCTTTCATCATATTTTAAATGAATGAAGAAGAAAAAAAATTTTGTTTTGAGCAGTAACACTTGTTGTTGTTGATCATAGAATTCAATCATAATTATTATCATTAGATTTCCTAGTAATGTTCTATGTTTCTACGCAAAACAATTCGTCATCATCATTTTGATACAATAATTTGAATTGAATTGAAATATCGTCTTCGTTTTTTTTTTTGGTCATAGTGAATGAATTCCATTTCCCATTATCTTTTTTCTTTTTTTCTCTTCGTATTTCAAATCGGTAACAATTGGATGAACGTTTGTTTGTTTGTTTGTTGTTTTTTCCTCGTTAATAATGGAAATCTTTCTGACCGATACGTTTGTGTGAATTTTTTTCTGTTATTTTGTTTTGGTCCCTTTTTCAATTTCCTTTCAATTGAATTAAATTTTAATGTTTTTTTTTTCTTCTTCTATTTCTTTTCATCAATACAGAGACATCCATTTCAAAATAACGATCCTTTTTTTCCCGAAATAATGATAGTAACGATGATTGACAGCCAAATTTCAGACTAATTCTTTTATTGTCAAAAAAAACAACAGTTTTTCTTTTGGTGGTGTTTGTTATTGAATACTTCGTATATCATTCATCAATTAATATTTTCGTAAAAATTCCAGCAACAACAAAAAAAAAATGTCTGTACGAATTATAATCAAAATATTTTTAACATTACAATTATTATTATTAATATTTCGTCAAATGATTGATTTTGCCGGCATACAATGGTTAATGATATTGATTAATGCATTAGCCATTATAATAACTATAACTGGTTTTTTTGGTTATCTATTATTTTATATAACATTTCAATTATTTTTAATATTATATAATATTTATGTGATATGTGTTTATGCACGTTTTATAACATTGGATACATTTGGTGATATTACTTCGTCAACAACGACTAATCTATATAAATCGGATATCATTGATCATCATCATCAACAATCAAACTATCCAATTGTTCATACATCACCATTATTACCATCAGCACAATTATTATCATTTGATCAAAATTCACGTTCATTTTGGTATATAATTGTTTCAAATCATATATCAAATATACAATCACATTTAAATCATTATAATTATTATCAACAACAACAACAACAACCACAATCATCACCAATTATTAAACATCTAATATCATCAACAACAACAACAACGGAAAACCTCAATAATCATGTTTCAACTGCATCTACAACAACATCGACAAATCAACATCTTCATCGTCATCCATTAGATGAATCATTAGTTGATCTTTGTGTTCAATATATTGAAATTGCTATCGCATCTTTACACATTTTTATTTCGCTTTTGGCTATCGGATTGATTTTATTAAAATATAAGCTTGAAAGAGATAAATTTTTACGTAATAATGATAAAAGTAAGAAAACAAACCATTCATTTTATCAAGTTCAATGATTTGTAATCTTTTATTTTCTTTACTATTTATTATAGCTACACCACCATTACCACCATATACGATTAAGTAAGTTTTTTGGTTAAAATCAATTTGTAATTATCATTAATTGTTTGGTTTTTTTATATCCATTTTTCCATTTGAATTATTAGTCCACAAATGAATCATTATATGAGTTTTACACCATCAACAATAACAACAGCAACAACAACAACAAAAAGTTCATTATATAATCAGAATACAAATTCTGTACGAAGATCATCAAAACGTCGTCGTAGTACACGTAGTCTTTATTCACAAAAATCTAAATCAAATTCATTAGGTGCATTAAATCAAATACGTACCAATAATAATAATAATAATAGTGGATCATTACGTTCAACAATATCAAAACATGGACATCATCGTAAAAGTGCAACATCATTATTAATGATGAATTCTATTAATAATAATAATAATAATGCTGATGTATCATTTATATCGAATAATTCACAACGTTCACAAGGTGCCAAAAGTTTAAATCATTCAAATTATGGTCAAATTAATAATAATAATAATGGAGTTTATGGTACAATTATAAGTACACCGGTCAATAAACCAACTGTACCATTACGAAATCAACAACGACAACTATATCAACAACAACAACAACAACAACAACATTCATCAAGACATTCATCATTATATGGCCAAACAACAAATTATGGAACAAAATTTTTAACATCCGATTCTGAAACGGATAATTATTATCATACATTTACACCTGCTTATCTAAATAATGGTTTAGCTAATCCTTTGTATGGAAAACGTAATTCATATATGGATTCATCTGAAACTGCCATTTAATTTATATCATTATTGATATTTATTTATTTTATTTATTCAACTCTTCGCTCAATCTAAAAATCAGCGAATCATTTTTCAGCTATTTTTTTATCTATCTATTTTATTATCGATCTCAATAATTTCAATTTCGATTACAATTTGTTTTGTACATTTTTTTTTTCATTTGTTTGTAATTTTTTTTCCCCACACTGATAATGACATCTGTCGTCGTCGATTTGAAAAATAAATTTGAATTTTTCTGTCTTGTAATAATTTGAATTTTATTCTTTTTTTTATAAAAAAAACAACAAAGAATGTCATCGAGTAAATAAATAAATTTAGAATAATTTTTTTTTAAAATTAAAAATTTTTCAAAAAACATTTAGAAAAATGTTTAGTTATTGATTGAAATTCTTTGATAATATTACCATTAATTTGATATAAATGATAAACAATATAACAAATAAAGAAGAAATCAATAATCTGAAATGATGATGATGATAAAAATCGATTAATCATTATTGATTTAAATGACCAATATAATAATGAATGAAAAATTAAGATAATAATTTTATAAATAATTTCAATACGATTATAACGACGTTTAGCAATTTCAATGGTTGAATCAGGATCTTTAGCCAGGTATCGACGACAACCGATAGCAATATCGAAAAAATATTTTTTCCATTCAATTGAATCAACATTTGTATTGAATAATGATTGTTCATTATCTGGTAATAATTTTCGAATTTCACGTATATTATTATTATAAAATATCCATTGATTACAGGAAAATGGTTCCAATAGGTAAAATCCTTTATGAATACGATCCATTAATTTTATCATGATTGGTTTTTGTGCCAATATTAAACAAATTAGATCGAAAAAATATGCAAATAAATAATGTGAAAATATTATTTTTGTTTGTAAAAACAATCGATCTCGGAATGTTTTAGATGAATTTATATGAATTGATAAATTTCTTACACATTTCATTGGTGGTATTTGATATTTAAATGAACTAATTTCATTAAATAATTTTCCCCATGTTATTGATTGATCGCCCATTGTAATATTGATAATTTTTTTATCATTATTAAATAATGTTGAACAACGATATGTACCGGCAATAATTAATGAATTCACGACTAAATCAACTGGAATTATATCTGCTTTTGCCTGAGCATCCATAATAACAAAACGTGAAATACCAAGACCAGTACAAAGTATAGCGCCAGCAACACCGGCCGGTGAATCACACCAACCAGGTATTGGTTCTTCATATGCGTTTCCAATAATTGATGGTCGACAAATAATTATCGGTAATGATTGATATCGTTCTTGAATCATCCATTCTGCAATCGATTTGGATAATGTATATGGATTTGGACGATTTTTTAATGCTTCATGTCCAATCTTTAAACTTAAATCATTATAATTTAAACGTAAATCATTTAAATATGATTCAAAATCTTGATGTTGAACAATTGGATAGATTTTTTCTTCAATTTCTTTTAAATGACAATTACCATATGCAGTTGATACATAAACAATTGATTTTAATTGTTTCATTTCCATACATAAACGTAGTATAGAATCAGTACCATCAATATTTTGCTGAATGAATTTCTGTAAAATACCATCAAAACTAATGGTTGCAGCTGAATGAAATACAATATTAACTTCATTGATTAATTTTTGCCGGTCTTCGATGGAAATTCCTAAATTTTTTGCTGTAATATCACCATTAATTGCATGAATTTTATCAAATTTTGATTGATGTAATGCAAATACTGGTGATGATTGTAATAATTTTGCCAATCGTTGTTGTGATGTTTCAGAATATTTATTCCGTATCAATACATAAATACGTTCGATTGAACATTGTCTAAGGATTTTTTCCAATAATACTTTACCAACAAATCCAGTGACACCGGTAATGAATATTGTTTGATTATGATAACATTTTAACACTGATAATTCATTCGTTGTTGTTGTTGTTGAAGTTATTGTTGAAGTGGTCGACATCTTCTTTGGTTAAATGAATTGAGAAAAACAATTTTTCAAACAAACAAAACAAAATCATGAGATTCGAATGATAACATTTAGGAAATTTATCCAGTGTTTTTATATGATTTGGTAGAGCGATAGACCCTTCTTCGATTGAATAAGTTATTATTATTTTTTTCTTTTTTTTTTCTCTTTGGTTACATTTAATAACATTTTTTAACATTTTTACTTGTTGTTTGAATCTCATCAATATGTTTATGATCAGCTTTTTTTTTTGTTGTTTCTGTTTTTCAATCATTGATGATGTTTATGAAGGAAAATAAAATTCTCTTTCTAATTATCAATGAATCAATGTTTTTTGATTGGCTTGGTTTGATTGGTTTTCTGTGTGTTGCATAAAGAAAGAAAGAAAGAAAAATATAATATTCTTGTTTTTTTTTTTTGATTGCTTAATGATGATTATGATTATGAAAACAAGATTTAATGTTTAATGAAAATGTTTATTTCAAAATTTTGAAACAACATTTTTTTCGGTTTTTCCTTCAAAAACAACAATAATGATGATTATTGTTGTTGTTGATTATGATTATGATTGTTGTTGATTGTTGATGTTTATAATTTTAAGAAGAAAAAAAAATTATTAAGTGCAATTAAAATTAGATTGGTCAACAACCAGCCAGAAACAAACAAACCGAAAAAACATATTGGATTTGAAAAATTTGTTTTTTTTGTTTTGCTTTGTTCAGATCAGAGAATCAAGAGAGAGAGAGAGAGAGAGAGAGAGAAAGGAATGACGTCAATAACGAAAACAAATTAATCCAAAATGATGATTACGATGATTATGATTATGAAAATGATACAAAATTGCAACAAAAATTATAAAATGAAAAATTAATAAAAAAAAAATTATTATTTTAAAAAATCAATGAACAAGGAATGTACATTTAAAAAAAAAAAAATCTACAAATAGTTAAACACAAAAAAAACTTATTCTGTCTGATTTGTAATTCCGATTCAGGGAAAAGTACCACCTTTATAAACATTCCTTTTAAATATCCCCAAGCAAATAAAGTTTTTCTTTTTGTTCGAAATTATTAATTTTGCTTTTTATTCAATTTTTTGTTTGTCATTTGGTTGGTTGTACAGAAAATTCAAAATCAGATTCAGGCATTCATTTAAAAAAAAAAAAAATTCATTAAAATTCAATCCTTTTAACCATTTGATGACATTGAATTTTTTTTTTTAACAAATTTTTTTGTTTTTCGTCATGTTAATTGTTACATAACATTATCAAGAAATTTTATTAATATTGAACGATATTCATCTGGGTATTTTAAATAATGTGCAACATGTTGTGATTGATTCCATGATTTTACTATAGCTATTAAACCATTATTACGATGTTTTTCAAATGTTTTTATATGATCATCATGATTAACCATTGGATCATCTTTGGATATAAATGCTAATGATGGACAATTATATGGATTTATATGTATTTGTCTAGATGATTCTAAATAATGCCTGGTTGCTAATGGATAATTTATTATATAATAAAATCTTATCAGAATTATAATTAATATTTGTAATAGAAAATTTGTTGTTGTTGCTTTTGCCAGACCGATTGGTCCTTCATTTACATCCACTGCTGAATCAATAATAACACCTTAATATGGTCAATGGAAAAAAACAAGCAAATCATTAATCACTTAGTATATATCAATTTTGGTTTTGGATATTTACCTTTCCATTGTTTACGCAGAATATCTCGTACATCTTTATTCCTATTTTGTTTCATCAATACTAATGATTCACCCATAACATAAACACCAACTGAAAATGCATGTACAATATATTGATTATATTGATTTTGATTTTTACGTATAAATTCTATTAATTTTAACATCATTATTTGTGAACCGAATGTTGGAAATAATAATTGTATTAGATCGGTACGTATTGTCAGTACATCAAAACCTAAATCTAAATATAATTTTCTATATTTATCTAGATGACGATCTTGTGCAAATAACCACCCGAATATTATAACAAGTTTTTTTGTTGTTGTTGTTTTTCCCACTTGTCCACCACCACCGTTCAATTCCAAAGGACATAATGCAAAATTTCTTCGGGGAAGTTGATGATCAATATCGATAAACTTTATCATTGGGTGAGTGAAAGAAAGAGAAAAATTTTAAAATTTTAAAATTTTTAAAAATTAGAAATTTAAAAAACCGAATGAACATCTTCGACTACTTACTTTTAATTGTGAATCAGAATTTTTTCGTTGATTATTCAATGATGTTTTATTCTGTCCATTTTTGGCCATTCTTTTTAATCATTGTAAAAAATTATAAATTACATAAAATTATAAAAAACATTTTATAAATGTAATTACCTTGATAATCGTATTATAATAAATCCAATTATAAATGTTATTATTAATAAAGTGGTTATCATTTTTTATTTAATCAATTTTTATAAAGATTTTTATCGATTGATTGATTGATTGATTGATTCACTCAGAGCAAAAAAAAAACCAAACCTAACCTAATCGATAAGCATTCGAAATCAAATACTTATCAAAAAAAATAAAAAATAATTTATTGTCATTTGATCAGTGTTTAAAAAACCAAATAAAAAACATGAATTATTACTACTGTGTGTGTGTGTGTGTGTAGATGTAAATGTAGATGGATATGTGATTTGTGCATCACAAGAACATTATCATTATTATTATTATTATTTGAAACAGAAATCAATTCGTTTTTTTTACTCTTTCTTTTGGTTGTTACGTTACGTTCATTCGTGATATTAAATTTTCTGAAAATTACATACGATGATGATGATGATGATGATAAGGATGATGACGATAAGGATGGTGGAAAAAACAACCAACAAAACGTACGTACGAACAATTCAATAACAGAAAATTATGAGGATGATGATGATGAACAACAGAAAAACAAACAAAACAAACAAAAAATATCATTAGATATCTTTCTTTTGAAACACACACACACACCATACACTTTTATTTCATATTTTTTTCGGGGGAGGGGGGATTGTTGATAATTATCATTTTCAAATTTAAATTTTGTTCGTGAATCCAAAAAAAAAAAAGGAAAGGAAAGACATTTTATTCGGACTTTACGAAGAAACAAAACAAATAACAAAAGTTGATACACGCATTTAAACAAAACAAAACAAAACAAACATTGCATTACATCCTTGATGGTCAATAAACGCAAAGATACATATATATACAGAGAGAGAGAGAGAGAGAGAGAGAGAGAGAGAGAGAAAAAAAATATCTTCAAAATTTTTGATTTCCACAATATTAATAACGATGATATTTTTTCCCTCTCTCTCTCTCTCTCTTATATCTTTTTAATCGATTGAAAATATTTTTTTTGTTTCTTCTGAAATTGAACCCTGGATGAGAAGAAAAAAAGATGTTTTCCTTGAAGAAAAATCAAGTTGCAAAAAACAAAAAAACTTTGATAATATAACCATTTGATGATTATCATCAATTCAAACGGATGGACATTTAAAATGTCGCATCAACGATTTTTTTTTTTGTACAGCAGATTTTTTATCAAAAAAATTTTAACCCTCCCCCCTCCTAATCAAACGCTAATTATAAAATCCAAAAAAACAACCGGAAAGAAAAATACATTTATCGTCACACACGTTATCTTTTACAAAAAAAAAAACAAACGGATTTACGTCAAAAAAAAACAACAAAAAAAGAACATTATTATTATGTAATCTCCATTACGTAAATCAAAAAATCAAAAATTCAAAGCAAAAAAAAAACTAACTTTTTTTTAATGTTTTTTTTATCTCTACGAAAATATACATATAATTATCATTCATTTATCTACAGGATTTTAGTGAAGAAGAAGAAGAAAAAAATTAGAATTACAAATTCATTACAAAAGAGGGAGAAAAAATTCATGATTTTGATTTTTTCCATTTTTCTTTCTTTCAATCGTCAATTCGTTTGATTGGTATTTCACGGTTTTCTTTCTTTTCGGATTCCAAAGCAGGTAATGGTGCTTCAATAACTAAACGTCCATCAGTTTTAAGCAATGATCGTACACGATCAAGATCAACATCTTCAGGTAATGAATATGAATAGCTAATCTGTTTGAATTGTTTTGTTGTGCCTTCATTCAATTCACATTTTGCATCGATTTTTACTTCACCTTTTTTTACTTGTACATTAACATCTTCAGGTTTAAAATCCGGTAAATCGATTTCAATTTTAAATATTCGTTGTCCATCTTCAATTGTTTCCATCGGAATCGAACGATGTAATGGTGTTCGTAGTTGATAAACAGTCGGGAAAAATGATCGTTCCATTTCACGAAAAAATGAATCAAATGATCGTTGGATATCTATAGAAAATTTTGAAGATAATCGATTAGTTAATTGAATTTTGAGGAAAGAAAAACTGATGAAAACTTACCTGCAAATGGATCATATCCACGTCTTGATGGAAGAAAATTACGTTTGGCCAAAACATTTGGCATCAACCATAAACGTCGAGTGCAAAGATTTTGACCAATCGGTACCAATTGACGAATTATTCTTGTCGAAGACATGTTTTGTTTTGAGGAAAAAAAATTTTGTTTTCAGTAAATTCGGTTATTCAATGTTTACGTGATGAAATTAACTTTGTCAATGATGCAATTCTACGGTAACATTCTCGGCTTTATATACTTTTTCAGTGTAACTTCAAACAACTATCAACAGATGTCACGCATCTAGAAATTTCGGGAAGATTCTCATATTCGCTGGAAATTTCTCGAAATTCTATTTATCACATGTGCCATGTGTGTGTTCCATCAATAATAATGGTCGATTCGGGTGATGAAGATATTTACAAAACAACTTTTAAACTGTATCGAAATTGGACACCCGAATCAAATTTACCATTGATTGATTTTACAGCGAAAAAAAATTATGAAAATTATTTCGAAAACATTACCGAAACATGGTCAAAATCATCATCATCATCAATCGATACGAATTTTGAAACATTTAAACATTTCAAATCGATTGATCAATGGAAAATTTATAAATCAATCAAAGGTTTGAATGGATTGTTTATCATAACCGGTATATTGAATGAAAATTTTCGTCAAAATTGGTTTGATTATTTTCATAATCAATTACCATGTTTACAGAATGATTTGAATCTTAAATCAAATATTCCATTATCATCATTGGAAACAATGAAAAAATTACGTTGGATAACATTTGGCTATCATCATGATTGGAATACAAAAATTTATAATCTTGAACAGACTACCGTATGTATACCGGAACGAATCATTGATCTTTGTCGAATGATATCAATGTTTATGAATTTCGATTTCAAACCTGAAGCTGGTATTGTAAATTATTACAACCGTAATTCATCACTATGTTTTCATACTGATCATTCAGAATTGAATCATCAAGCACCATTAATTAGTTTAAGTCTTGGTCGATCAGCTATTTTTCTGATTGGTGGCCCAAATAAACAATCAACCAAACCAATCATACCAATATTATTAAATGATTCGGATTTAATAATAATGTCCGATAAAAGTCGTTTAGCATTACATTCGGTGCCGAAAATATTACCGGAATCATCAACTGTTAACGATCATCAATCAATACATCGTATCAATGTTAATATTCGACAAGTTTTTTGAATAAAACAGCAACAGCGAATAAATAACTTTTGATACTTCTTTTGAGAAAATTGAATTTTTAATTTTTGTTTTTTTTTCCAAATTTAAAATTATTAATAATAATAATAATAATTCAATTATAATTTGTAATTTATAATTTATAATTTATCCATATAATAATTATAATAATATTTACAATGTTTTTCATGTTTTTTATGTGTTTTGTTTTATTTAGTCTTTTTTTTTCAAATAACAAAGTTGTGAAGAAGAAGAAAAAATGAAAATGAAAATGAAAAATTTCATTTGAAAACATATTGAATCCATTTAGCCGAAAATCCAAGATTAAGATTTTGTTTTTACTTTTTTTAAATTTTGTGGGGGGATTTCCTCTCATCAGTTGATGTGTGTGTGTGTGTTTAACAAAATGAAACCATAACGGGATTTTTGAAATTATCGATGAATGAAAAAACAATCTCATCAAACAAACACACACACACATCACACAAATGATGAATGTGGCCAAAGGGGGGGTAGATTGTTTTGAGGGTGTTAAAGAGGGGGATGTATTTATATAAATTCATTTTTGTTTGTTTCTCCCCGATGATGATAATGATGATGATGATGTGGATGATGATTTTCAGAAAAACAACAACAGAACAAAATTTGAATGAAAACAAAGTTCAAGAATCTGTTTGTTTGTTTGTTTATCGATTGATGAAATTTTGAATTTTGAAAAAAAGTTGAATTTTTTGTTTTTGTTTTGTTGTTTGAAGTGGAAGAATCAAGCGCTTGGCTAAAATTGATGATAATCGATGATTGATGGCGATGACATAAAGAATTGAATGTTTGACCAATGGTTCTCAATTCTCATCATTTACCATACAAAAAAAAAAGAAAATTGGAACACCCGGTATTTTAGTATTTTTGTTTCAATAATGTGTAAATGTGATTGATTGATTGATTGGTTGATTGTAATGATGACCAGAAAGTTTCAACAACAAACAAATTATCGATTTCAATCGAAAATGATATCAATGTTATGCTGAAGTGTTAATTTGTTTGTTTGTGGTTGTTTGTGATTTTATATTCATCCAATTTGATGACTAGATTTTTTCTATAAATGTCTAGGACTGAGGAATTTATTCTGTCTGTCTGTCTGTGTGTGTATTATCGGTATTGGCATAGCAGTAACATGGTGGTGTTAGGCAAAATTTGTTTATCCTCATCAACCAATTTGGAACCGAATTGGAAGGTGTCTGGTGTGTGTGTGTGTGTTTGTATTGAGTGTGAAATAGACAAAAACAACGAAAAAAATTGATGCGGAACAACAAACGGAAAAAAGAAAGCCAGCAAATTTGAAAATAATAAAAACAAAAACTTTTTTCTTTTTTCTTGTTAAAATCTTATATTTATATAAAGAAAATCAGGGAAATATGTTAATGAATGCGATGCGATGCGATGCGATGCAAAGAAAAATATTTTTGTTTGTTTGTTTGTTTCTTTTAAAATAGGAAAGACGTGTGTGCCAACAACAACAACAACAATGATAACATGGTTATAACAAAAAAAAAAATTAATATAATTTTTTTTTATAATAATAGGAAATGGACAGACAATTTTGTAATTTTGTTTTGTAATTTTGTTTTGTTTTGTTTGTTTTCTGTATTCAACAATTTGTTGTTGTTGTTGTTGGTTGGTTGGTTGGTTGTAATGATGATGATGATGATGATTTTTCGGGTGAGACAATACAGGATTTGTGTGTGAAATTGAAAATCGATGAATTTTGTGTGTGAAAATTGAAATTTAAAAACAAGAATGAAGAAACAATAAGAATGCAAAATGCAACAACGGTGGCAGATATATTTTAAATGGTTGAAGAACATTTTAATTAAAATTCAAATTTTAAAATAGAAAAAAATGAATTTTTTTTTGATGTTTTTCCAATGAAGAAATTTTATGAAAGAACGAATGGTTTGAAATCAGTAATATCTTGCTATACACCCGCGCGTATTACACACACACACACACACACACACGCACATTGACACATTGACATACAAGAGAATCGAATTGACATTCTGTGTTTACTGTGTGTTTTGCGACTTTCAATTCAAATGGGCGATCAGATTTTGATTTGATTTGTTGTTGTTGTTTTTTTTTTGGATTTAGTGAACAATAATTTTATAATTGGCGGACTGATTTGATTGATTGTAACAATTGATGATAATCAGGATGATGATGATAAACATCGATGTTTTTGCTTGGTTGGTTGGTTGGTTGTGTGAAGAGAAGGGGGGCTAAAAATCAGCAAATTCTTTCGCACATTTTTCCGTACTTGATATTCGTAATGCTTCTTCTTCATAATCATCAAAATTACTTGTATCGCCTGGTCCTTTACATTTAGGTAAAAATGGTGCTTCAACCTGAACCAACAGAACAAATAAAACCAAAGAAAAATTCATTAGTTAAAAAGGGACAATGAAGAAAATGAAAATAAGAAACCTTTTTCTGGTATATGGCAATCCATTCTGTGGAAGAAAACCAACGATGATTTTTAATATCATTAACACCATTTTTTAAATTTCCATAACGTTTTGTAAGATCAACTTGTAATAAATTTCTTAACAATTCTTTCAATTCAACACTAAAATGTGATGGAAATCGTACTTTTCCGCTAACAATTTTTTCATAAATTTGTATTGGTTGATCAGCATAGAATGGTGGATAACCGGCAGCCATTTCATAGATTAATACACCAAGTGCCCACCAATCTTGTGTTAAAAAAAATATTTAAAAAAACAATTAACACTGTCGGAACTACACAGGTATAAATCAAATAATAAACACATACCGACTGCTTTGTTATAACCCTGTAGTCAGGAGAAAAGGGATAAAATTTGATTAGAAAAAGATTCTTTAAAAAAACGCATTTCCAAAAGAAACATTACTTTGCTAAGAATAATTTCTGGTGCTAAATATTCGGGCGTACCACATAACGTCCATGTACGTCCTTTGACTCGTTTGGCGAAACCAAAATCTGTGACCTGTCATGGTTTGAAAAAATGAAATGAAAAAAACATTGATTAAATCAAATCAGACCAGAATCCAGAATCCAGAATCCAGAATCCAGAGTCCAGAATCATCAGAATCCATACCTTAATATAACCTTGTGAATCGATTAATAAATTTTCTGGTTTCAAATCACGATATATGAGATCGAGATAATGAAGATATTCAAATGCTAACACTATCTGTGCGGCATAAAATCGGGCCATTTGTTCGCTTTATAAAAAAAATGATCAAAAAAAGAGAAACAGAAACCAAAGAAACATTAATTAGTGAGAAAATGGCAGTGGCAGAATCAGTAAAGAAAGATGGGTTATAAATCATCATTTCTTTTTTTGTTAGTTATAAGTTTTCTGAATAGCTAAATGTATAGAATGAATAAAGAAAAAAAAAATTTTTTACCTAAATCTTCCCGTTTTTCTTAAATGTGAAAACATTTCACCACCAGGTACATATTCCAAGACCATGTATAAATATGAATTATCCTTGAATTGAATTGAATGAAAGAAAATGTGAAAACATATGGAAAAAGAGAATGAAAAGAAAACAAAAAAGTTTGTAAAAAAAGTTTGTAAAAAAAGTTTGTAAAAAATTTCATTAATCAAAAAATTTTTTTTTTATTAATATTATGATGGTTATTGTTGTTGTTTTTTTTCATTTATTACGGAATTCACCCCTTTTTTTCACAAATAAGCAAACACACACAATCAACGAACAAAAAAAATTAACTTACCTTGAATGAAGCATCAAGATGTACTAAGAATGGAAAATCAACAGCTTGTAATATTTTTTTCTCATTCAATGTATGTTCTACTTGTTTCAATCTGACCACCTTTAGAGGAAAATCAAAAACAAAAGCAAAAAAAAAATTAATAACAACAACGAATCAAACCAAAATCAATGTACAAACCTTTTGTTTATCAAGAATTTTCATTGCAAAATGTTTCCCTACATCAGGACCAGATTTTCTTTGTACCAACATAACACGACCAAATGAACCAGTACCTAATGTTTTTATACGTTCATAATCTTCTAATGATGCTGTATTTGAACCTTGTTGATTCCATTTACGTTCAAAATCTTCTTTTGCTTTTTCCAAAAATTTTTGAACTAAAAAACCATTGAAGAAAATCAAAAAGGGGAGAAAAAAATGATTAATTATAAACAAAACGAAAAACATTTCAATGAACATTTCACAACGAAAGTCTTATTTCACACAAACAAACACAAATTCTTTTAAACACCAGACAAGACAAGTGAAACAAAAATATTTTTGCCAAACAAACAAAAATTCTTAGAAGAAAAATTACATAAACAAAACCAAACAGAAAAGGAAAAAGAAAATCTTTATTTTAGACACATCTTCAACCAAAAAAAAAAAAAAAAAAAAAAAATGGAAATTGTTGTTTGATTTATTGATTGAATAATTTTGCTTGTTTGTTTGTTTCAATTTCATCAGAAAAAGAGAAAAGATTTGAAAACAAGATTTTTCAGTCAAAAAAAAAATTGATTGAAAAACATTGTTGTTTTTCGGTTGGGAATTTTCTCAAGAAAAGAATAAAGTCAAAAAAGAATGGAGGAAAAAGAAAATCCGATCCTATGTAAACTTCATCAAAAAAATGACATTGAAAATTCATTCATTCATTCATTCGCTACACAAAAAGTAAAGATCCAAGATCAAAGTCAAACAAGTATTTGAACAATGGACATCATCATCATCATAAAGATTGTGTTGGAAAGACAAAATGAAATTTCCGGTTGCAAATAAATCTTTTTTTCTGTTTTGTTTGTTTGTTTGTTTGATCTACATATTTGTCTTTTTGCTTGTTGTTTGAAATGAAAATGAAAATTGTAAATCTCAGATTTCTTCTTCTTCTTCTTGTTGATCGAAATCGACCGATTTTTTTTTGAATAAATGAAAATTTTCTTTTTCGTTTTTCTGTTTTTTCAAGTTTGATTTGATTAAATACAAAAAAATTTTGACCTTCAAAAAAAGATCAAATCTTTCAACTGACTGTGTGTCTGGATATGTGCACAGAATCATCAAAAAACCAGTGAAAAAAACAACAAAGATTTTTTTTTTGTCTTTGAAAACAAGAAAAGAAGAAGAAGAATCGTGAATCTTTGTTGCATTTTTTCATTCAATTTCGATTCGATTTCAACTTTTCAACTTTTTGATTGATTAATTTCTCGCAAAATTCACTTCACTGTCGAAGAAAGAAAAAGAATCCAAAAAACAGTTGAAGAAAGTGATGAATGAATGAATTTCACTTCCATTTCTTCATTGAAAATCAAATAAAAGTTTAGTTTTGTATCAACAAACAACAACAAAGAATAATGTGGAAAAAAAACGAAAGAAAGAAAGAATTATTTTTTCAAACCAGAATTTCGTCGTCGAATTGTTATTCGACGTCGCCAACGACGTGAATATACTGCTAAATGATAAATATTTCGTCGCATCATTTCTTTTCATCATCATCATTATCATTCGAATGATCATTGCCACTGTTATCATGATAATCATTATTCATCATCACTATAAAAAAAACTTGTTTGAATTAAACAACAACAACAACAACATTATATAAATTGGCCAAAACATTATGAATTAAAAAAAAGTGAAAGTGAAGTTTCTTTTTGGACAACACCGAAAAACACACAGACACTGTTTAAGAAATTAGAGAATTCAGAAGATGAATTTCAAAGCAAACAAATTCTTGAACAAAATATAAACCAAGTATGATGATGATTTCATCAAATGAAGATGATTCTGCTGATGATTCTGATGATTATGATTATGATATAACCGGATTTTTCATTTGTCTAATAATTTTATTTGCTCAATATACACACACACACAGAATATGTTTGTATATGTCAATTTCGTTCTGCTTCTAATCGGTGTGTGAGTTTATTCAACAAATTTTGTACCAAATTCATTTAGCTTGCTTGTTTCATCATCATCATCATTGTATATGATACGATATGATGATGATGATGATATGGAACACTACACCAAAAAAAACTTGAAATATTTTTTCTGGATGAACGAAAGAAAAAAACCAGATCTAACAAACAAACACTAAACACTAAACTAAACTAAACTAAACAGAATAGAAGAAACAAAAAAAAAATAACGTAATTCTTTAACTTGTTTGCTGTTGCTTGTTTGTATTTTGTGCTGTTTTGTTTTCTGTTTTTGTTTTGTCATAATTTTTCCATCTTTTTACTTTTACTTTTCATTCATTTTGTTCTATGGTCACTATATCGGCATATTCGTTTTGTTTTATTATTTGGTGTTCCTGGTTTTGTTCTTCTTCAAATGATGATGATGATAATAATCATCTCCATGTATGTCAGTTAGTATGGCCTGTCAAATTGGTGTGGTTCAGCGTATGTATGGTTGATAATATTGAAAGATATCCAATATAGATAGGATAGGATAGGATAGATTGTATGTTTGGTTCTTGCTTGTCATTATCATCATCCACATTATTATTATCAACATTGCTGGCTGGCGTTGACAACAAAAACAACAACAAATTTCATTTTCATTATATAAAAAACAAACAAACAAAACGATTCATATCATCATCATACACACAGTGTTTTTCCCTTTTTTTATCTCTCTTTTTAGATAAAAAGGGAAAAAGTGTACTTACAATGTATAAACATCGTTAGAAATTTGATTAAAAAAAATTAATGAGAAAAAAACTGAGAAGAATTTCCGGAATCTATGATCAAATTTTCCAAAGAAAAAAAAATATTGATCCAAATCGATCGACCTTGTTTTTGGCTTGTCAAATTTTAAAAAATTATATTTTACATCAACAACAACAGCAAAAATCTATTTTGGGAAACTTTATCCAAAAAAAAAGATGAGGAGGATGCTTTATTTTTGGTACAAAAAGAAAAAAAAATTTGACCTGATTTCATTCTATGGTGTATTTCCATCTGTGTTTTTTTTGTACCAGGTACTATATAGAGTACCAGGCTATACAGTTTTGCTTTCAAAGAAAACAAAATTATCATCATCATCATCATCATCATACCAAAAAAAAAAGGTGAATGTCACTATGTAGAGCAATAAATATAGGTAGCATCGATTCCAATAAAAAGTTTATCAGGGAAAATTGTAGGCGGACAAATTTTTTTATATTTTTTTTTATCAATCCGTCGATTCTCACGATGAAAGCTAAAAATAGAAAATTCTTGCTTCTCAAGGTTGTTTTCTGTTTTCTTTTTTTTCGTTTTCGTTTGGTTTCATTTGAAAAACTTGGAAAAAAAATTTTTGGATTTGCTTTCAGAAAAATCAATCAAACAGATCAATCAATCAATCAATCAGAGCAGAGCAGATCGGATCAGATGAAAGCAAAATTTTGATCAAGGAAGATCAATAATGGAAAATCAAAAAGAAAAAGAGAGATTAAATATCGATCAGCGATGGTGATGGAAGGGTTATAAAAAATCATGAAAATTGGTGCAAAAAAAGGGTTAAGAAAAAGTTTTTATTTGTTATATTTTGGCCCGGGAAATTTATAAACAAGAATCACTATACAAAACACAAACATACCAGAAATAAAATAATGGAAAAGTTTTTTTTCAAATTCATCATCATCATCAACAACAGCAACAACATTATTGGAACATAATGAATTATCATGATGATAATTATGATGATTATTATTATTATTATTATGAACAGAATTTTCATTGAAAAGTTTGATTGTTTGTTCGTATTGTTGTTGTTGTTGTAGCTGCTGTTGTTGTTGTTGTTGAAACAGATGTTTGATCAAAACAACAACAACAACAACAAACGAAATAACGGTAAAAAGCCATGTTATCATAAGTGTCGATGGTGGTGTTTGTTTGCGTGTTTTTGTTGGAAAAAATAAATCAAAAATTCACGAAAAAATCAAGAAAAAAAAAATTTGAAACACTTTGAAACACATCAAGAATAACGGAAAAAGAAAGAGAAAAAAACAACAGAAAGATTCATTAGGTTTAGTTGTTTTTTTTCACCGAAAGGAAAAAACTAGAAAGTTTTCACACAGAAGAATAAGAAAAATGACAAAGAATTTTCTCATTCTAATGACAAGAATGTGGGAACTAAACAAAAAAAAAACTAAAACAAACTACAAATTGCAATCAAAGTCAGTGGCAAACACAAGACAAAACTGTAAAAAAAAACAAATTAATCATTATCAAGCGCACAGACAAAAAACTTTGAAGTAAAAGATTTGGAATGTGAGAAAACAAAAAACAAAAAAAAACGTTTTTTTTCTGCTAAATGAATGGATTGAATGAATGAATGATGATCTATCAACAACAACAACAACAACGAGAAAGACTATCGTGACATTCTTAGATAAATTTCTTTTACTGTACTTTACTTAAAGTTACAAAAACTCAAACCGAAATTCTAAGCTAAAGAAATTCTTTGGTTTTTTTTGCTTCACACTTATTTCATTCCTTTTCATTCATTAAAACACACTTTCTTTCGGTTTGTGTTGTTGTTTTCTCCATTATAAAATTGAAGATTTTTTCGTTAGGAAAATTCCAACTCAAGATTCATTTTCATTTTAAACTTGAAATTTTAGATGCAAACAAAAAAAAAGAATCATAAAATAACATAGATAGGCGAAATTCCTTAATTATTTTTCCCCTCTAAATGAATTGAATTGAATGATGATGATTTTATGATGAAAAAATTAAACATCACCATCATAGCTTGGATAGAATTCTTCAGCAAACAAACAAAGATAAGAACCGAATCTTTTTTTCGAGTTTTTTTTTCGGTTTGTTTGAAGAAGAAGAAAAAATTGCTAAAAATAGCATCACCAAGCAAACATTCAATGTGTAAACCAAATAATACAATTGAAGAATTAGAAAAAAGAAAGAAACTGAACCGAAGCCGAAACCGAAGAAAATTTAGGACAAAAGGGGAGAAAATAAGCAAGATTGATCTCCCCCACCACACACACGATCATTCTACCCGAATAACCTAAATCGACCGAATCCCAAAAACAAAACAAAACAAAAAAGTAGTGCAGCAACCAAAAGAAGAAAACAAAAAGTGAAATGAAAAATGTATGTCAAAGCTCGATGCG